TCGCGAGGTAAAACAAAATGTCGGAAAGCTTTTCTTTGACGCATGCGCATTTGCATAAATGTCTACACACACACACACACGCACCCACATATTACACACAATAAAAAACAAAGGAAAAATGAAGAGTGATTACAATAGTTCCTATTGCATTACATGCATGAACTAAAAATTAAAGTACTGTATGGCTATTTTCAGTCAACAAAAATAAACTGACCTCATCACTTTCGTATCTAAGCAAGAAACTCTGCAATGATCCTGCTAATCTGAATTGGCAGATGGCCAACACGCTTCCCACCACCACCACCACCAACCACCACTGATTTCATTTGCTGTTGTGTAAATACCCCCAACATTTTCGTCATGAGCATGCTCTCAACGATTACCTTTTCTTCACCAAAACCATTCGTTTATCTTCGATTAACAAAAAAAAAAAAAAAAAAAAAAAAAAAAAAATGGCCAGGCCTTTGAATTTTCCAATCTCCCATAAGTACCCCTTCAATTTTTATCTTTTCCGTAAGCGCCCCTCAATTTCCACTCTTTTTTCATAAGCGCCCCGTTTGAATAAGCGTCCCTCAAAAGGAGACAAAAATATTTTAAGCGCCCGGGCGCTTATTCGCGAGAGTACGGTACTGTATGCTATATGTTGTTACTGTCACTGTATACTGTTTATGGACTTTTTTTTTTTGCTCGGACAGAGTTTGAGGCACGTCAATGCGATTTCGTAATTCCAACGATCTACTCCTTTCTTCATATTTCCCCCAAGTTTGTAAATATTCAAAAATCTATATCTCATTTAACCGCTTTTTATCTCATTAACCAAGTTTTTCGTCAAAGTTTAAGAAAATTAAGACGTCTGTATTTCTATTGGCAACCATGTACGGTATTTTTTATCTTAATTTTGTCGTTTTTAATTGTATATTTTAAAGCTATTCTACAAAAATACATTTCCGAAATAAAAAAATGAATGTAAAAATTACTGTACGTTTTTGTGTTTGTCTTGTGTGGGGCATCCCACTTTTATTTCATATAATTAATCATTCTATAAATCAAACATAAAAATCTTAACTAACTACAGTACGATATTGCAACTTGCAAACTTTTTTATTTGCTGTAATAATTTCAAGAGGTTTTTTTTCCCCATTGTTATTGTATTTTCAAAGCATATTCAAATAGAAAGATATAACCTATCTCAATCGCTGTTATGCAGTCTTATGCAGTTTCATGCTTTTAGGTTTTAAGTTTTATGCAGCCCGCCCAATATAGTGCGAATCGTGAATTTTTTTCTCATAGTCATGCGCAGTAAACAACTTAATTAAATAAGTTAATTATTGTTTTGCCCATGCGTGTAATGAAAAAAAAACCACATTTAGGGCGAATTCGCCTATAGAGGAAAGAAACAACGGCCGTACGAGTACGAGGGCACATTAGCGGACGTAAACAATAGGAAGGAAAAAATACACTGCTCTAGGCCTATATATTTCTAATTACTGTAGTGTTTATTCACATTTGGGATAAAAAATTAATTTTATTTTGTTCTACGACTAGGTATATTATAGGTTTATATGTGTACTTTTGTTTCCCTAATCGAGTTCTACTTGCTGCCCTGCAAATTTTGCATTGAGTACTAGGCAGGCATAGGGTTAAGCCTACACCAGCGGAACTTTTTTGTCATTTTTTTGTGGGGGGGGGGGGGAGGAAGGGTGCGACCACGCCCATGGAGTAATCACTTCAGTTACAGTATATTGT